ATAATCATTTGTTTCAGCTAGTTTTCTTCTTGTTCTCTATATACACCAAGCTCCTATCAGCCCATCTTGTCTGCTAATACCTAATAAACAACACTTAAAAGAATGTATTGCAAATTTTAATATATGTGCCCAAATACAAGGCAGTGCCTTGTTGGGTGCCTGGTGGCTCAGTCGGTTAAGTGTCTGCCTTCGGCTCAGGTCATGATCTGGGGGTTCTGGGATTGAGTCCCGCACTGGGCTCCCTGCTCAGTAGGGAGCCTGCTTCTCCCTCTGCCTCTGCCTCTCTCTCTCTCTGGTCTCTCATGAATAAATAAAAATAAAATCTTAAAAAAAAAAGCAGTGCCTTGTTTTCCCAAAGAGAACTAAAAAAAAATGGTTTTCGGTTGACTTCATATATATGAATAGTCAAATGTCTACTTTTTTTTTTTTTTAAAGATTTTATTTATTTATTTGACAGAGAGAGAGAGGGCGAAAGCAGGAACACAAGCGGGGGAGTGGGCGAGGGAGAAGCAGACTTCCCGCCGAGCAGGGAGCCCGATGTGGGACTCAATCCCAGGACCCTGGGATCATGACCTGAGCCGAAGGCAGACGCTTAACGACTGAGCCACCCAGGCGCCCCCAAATGTCTGCTTTAAGTAGTTACCAATTTAATGAAAATGTAAGTCTAATATTATTCAGCAACACATATTCAAAATCACATGTGAAATATTTATTTAGAGAGAATGCTTTTTCACTCAAACTTTCTAACAATTCAAATTATCAGTGCCTTCGTTATCTTTCAAGCCACTTCGTTCATCAACTAGCTCAATTTACAGATCACACCATCTGCGCATATATCCAAATTGTTTGAGTTTTTTTTAATTCATACTATGCATATATATTCCTGATATCCACAGTATAACCTCTTCCTGTTGCTTTCTGAAAGGCTTACTCACAACAAGATCTAACACTTGAAACTGTAAAGTCCTAATCCAAGAATAATTCCTTAAATCTATGTTAAATTTTTTTTTTTTTTGCCTCCTTTTTGTTTTTAAGTGATTCCATCCAGTGAGCTCTATAAGCTTGTGGAACTAGCATGAACTGGGGTGCCTGGGTGGCTCTGTCGGTTGGGCATTTGCCTTCGGCTCAGGTCATGATCCCAGAGTCCTGGGATTGAGTTCCAAGTTGAGTCCCTGCTCAGCAGGGAGCCTGCTTCTCCCTCTGCCCACCCCCCACTCATTCTCTCAATCACTCTCTCTCTCTCTCTCTCCAATAAATAAATAAATAAAATCTTAAAAGAAAAAAAAGAACTAGTATTAGCTTAGGTTATTTCAGGATGCATCTTCCCCAAACCCTTTGACTAAAAACAAAATACATAAAACAGATATCATGGACTATAATAAGAGACTTTGTAAGAACACAAATTACAAGGCAACTTCTTTTCTGAAAAATTATTTGGAGAGGAAAAATAAACCTTATATTCAGGTATATAAGACATTTGTTCATTTCACAAATACTTAATGAGCACTTCTTGTGTGCCAGGCACTGTGCTAGGGACTAGAGATACAGGGACCTTAGAATCCCATGCGGAAGACAGTCATTAAATGTATAATGCCACAGCTAATTAATTATGATCATTTTAAGTACTTTTACGGATAAGTATACCTAGCTACAAGACAGAGGAGTAATAGAGGAACCTAAGTCTGTGGGACTAAAAAATAGTTTCTCCAACAGTGCTATTTATATACAGTGTAGCAGTAATTCATGTACCCAGTCTATCTGGGTTCAAATACTGACTCAAATCTTAAGGTTACTTAACCTCACTTTCCTCATTTATGAAGTGGAGCTAACAAAAATACCTACCCCATGAAGATTAAATGACTTAATACACATAAAGCATTAAGAAAAATGTCGCCACATGGTACTTGCTTAACAAATGCAGCTGCTACTGTCATTTCAGCAGGAACCTGAAAGACAAGCTGGGAGGAAGGGAAGAAAATCCAAGCAGGGGTGCTCAGGTGGGTCAGTCAGTTAAGCGTCTGACTTCGGCTCAGGTCATAGGATCGAGCCCCACATGACACTCCCTGCTCAGCACGGAGTCTGCTTGAGATTCTCTCCCTCTGCCCCTACCCGCACTGAAGCTCACATCCTCTCTCTCTCTCAAGTAAATAAATAAAATCTTCAAAGAAAGAAAGAAAGAACTCTAAGCAAAGAGCTACATGTGCAAAAGCCCAGAGCATAAAGTTGCTTGGCCTACAGTAGAACTGAGAGGCCAGTGTTTCTAAGCATAGAAAGCTAAGGGGGAAAGGATACCATGAGATATGAGATGAAGCTGAGAAGATAGGCTGAGGTCAATAATGCAAAGCCTTGTAGGTCGGGTTAAGGAATCTGAACTTTATCCTAAGAGTGAGGAAACCTGAAGGGTTTTATAAAGGGGAGTGACAAGCTTAGATTTGCAATTTTCAAAGCTTTCTCTGGCTATGGAATGGAAAACTGGTTGGAAAGAGGCCTTTGGCCTCTATTTTATAGATGATGGGGAAACCAGTAAGGAAGTTGATTCAGTCTTCTAGATCAGAGGTGGGTGGTGGCACAGAAGAGAGAAGGAAACTGGATGACTACAGAAATAGAAGGCAGAACCAGCAAGACTTACTGGGTGTATGTTGCAGCGAGGGGGCATGGAGGGAGAGGCACTAAACAATAAACATGTATTTGAGGAAGGAAGGAGGGAAGGAAGGAATTCCTGTGTTCCTGCCATATTGTTTTACTGCATGAAATGCCTTCCCTCTACTCCATCTTTCCAGGCATAATACCTTCCCATTTCCTCCACAAAACTGTCTCTCTGATTGATCTTGTCCCCTTCTTCCCAGGAGTGTTCTAGAATTTTAGAGCTGAACATTCTTGAGATACATAATGATTGAGAGAACTTAGACACTGCCTGAAGACAGAGATCATCTTTTAGTCAACTTTTTTTTTTCTTTTAAGATTTTATTTATTTATTTGACAGAGAGAGACACAGTGGGAGAGGGAGAAGCAGGCTTCCCGCCGAGCAGGGAACCTAATGTGGGGCTTGATCCCAAGACCCTGGGATCATGACCTGAGCCGAAGGCAGACGTTTAACAACTGAGCCACCCAGGTGCCCCTTTAGTCAACTTTCTATCCTGCCCAACTCATCTCCCCAACACTTGTAGAGATTCTCATTACAGAACACTTTCTCTGACTTCATGAGTGGTATAGTCATAAACATCCTATGCTAATATAAAGCTCCTTGACCCATTAAGCATTATATGGAGGTTTCACAACCATTTTCTTCTTGGATCTTCACAGAATCCTTATAAAATAAGTGCTATTACAGAGAAAATAAACTCAGAGCTAAAGTGACATGTCCAAGGTCACATACACTAAAGGAAATGGCAGTGCTAAGATTTGAACCTAGATCCTGTTTCCAAATGGGATGCTTTTTACAACTCTCCATGGAGGATAAATATTCATATGCACTTGAGACATTAAACTCTCAGAGGCAGCTAAGTGCCACTTCTAAGAATCCTTCCCAGTTTCAGTAATTAATTAGTTTATTCAAGAATACTTATTAAGCACCTACGGGTGCCTGGATGGCTCAGTTGGTTAAGACTCCCACTCTTGATCTCAGCTCAGGTCTTGAGCTCAGGGTAGTTAAGTTCAAGCCCTGCGTTGGGCTCCACACTGGGGTGGAGCTTACTTTTAAAAAAAAAATAAAGAATATTTATTAAGCACCTACTACATTCTAGGAATGGCACCTAGTATTAGGGGTAAGGTACAGCAGTGAACAAGGCAAGAAGGTGCTTGCCCTGTCTAGTTCAGGGAGGGGCCCAAACAAGGAAACAAATATATAAACAGTGTTAAATGCTAAGTACTATAAAGAAAATATACGAGGTGCTGGGGGCAAATGTGTATCCTTAAAATGGGCATTACTTTGAATAGGGTGGTCAGAGAAAGCCTCTCAGAGAAGTGACATTTGAAACCGACCTTGGTCTTCAGGAGGCGCTTAACGAAAGGCATTTCCCCACAAACCTAGTTTGGAAGCCGGCGTCTAAAGCCAAAAGGTACTTAGTGTGCACAGGGGCCGCTCCCAGGCCTCCAACCCTGGCCACCTCACTGGCCCTGGACAGTTCCCGGCCTACTCCGGCCGCCACCACTAGAGGGCGCCGCGGATCTCCCCAGCGCCCAGGAGGGGCCGCGGCCCCAGGCACTGCCACACTGACACCTGGCACCCACCGCGTCAAGGCCCCGAAGCCCGGGGTACGGATGGAGGGCAAGGGCGGCGCTAGGAAGCCCTAGGCAATCGCGAGGGATCAGCAGGCCCTCAGTGAGAGGACGTCCCCAAGATCACAAATCCAACCACTGCCATACGTCCTCACTGCCTCGGGGACAGCCAGTTTCCGGCGCCTTTAAATCAGGAAATACGGGCTGCGTCCAATCCTGGTCCTTCTTTCGCCACTTAGTCTTAGCGTCGATTCTTCGCCAGGGGAGCGCCAGGCCGGCCATCTACGGATACCAATCAGCACTCAGGAAAGGCGCATGCGCTCTGGAAAGAACGTGACGTACAGTGAACTTTGACCTAAAGGCGACCTCCTCTCTTCTCCCCCTCCCTCGCTGTGAAGATGGCGCTCTCCAGGGTGTGCTGGGCTCGGGCTGCTCTGTGGGGTTCGGCGGTCACCCCCGGACCTCATGTCACCCGGAAGCTGCAACTTGTTCGCTGTGGCCTGGCCTGGGGGGCCCCTCGGTGAGGGACCTGGGAGAAAGGAAAGCGTTTCTGATGTACAGGCCTTTCCAGTGGCTCAACCTTGTTTGCATGCTGTCTGTTAATTCTCAGCGTTCCACGCCCTGGCCCCGGGGTTTTTATTCTTCTGCTCAGAACTCGCACCCCGATCGCCACTAGTGATATGGCTTCCTGACCCTCACGACTCTCAGTGCCCCATATTTTCAGTATTCCCCACGTGTCCTGAACTCATCTTTCAGCCTCCCTTTTTCGGCTTAGATTTTACCGCTACTTATCTGGATCCCATCTCTTTGGCCTTAGCAAGCTGTTCAAATGGTCCCTCAGGCTTTGCTCTCCCTGCAGACTCACACCACACCCGACATTCCTTCCTGCCTGATCTCTCATCTGCCCGATGTTTTTCTCGGTCTGATTGCTTATCTGTCCTTGAGCCCAAGATCTTCCTTGGATTTCAGAAGATTCAGGTCTTAGCATACATTCTCTGAGACTGGTGTTTTACTTTGGTGTAAAAGGGGCTCCAGGACTGATTCCCAGACAGTCTCTTTGATCTTCCTTGTAGGTCTTCAAAGCTTCACCTTTCACCAAAGGCAGATGTGAAGAGCTTGATCTCTTATGTCGTGGCCAAGACAAAAGTGATTAATGGGAAATACCATCGTTTCTTGGGTCGTCATTTCCCCCGCTTCTATGTCCTGTACACAGTCTTCATGAAAGGTAAAACCAAAACAGAAATCCCTTGAATCCTTTCGTGGGCAATGTCAAAGAGTTTAGAATAAGTAAGATTACTTGCATGTTCTGCTGTGTGGTGTGAGCTGGTGTGTTTTCTGTTTCATAAATGCTTGAGGGTTAAATTAGTTCTAAGTTAGCACTTCTGGAGAATGTGTCTAGAAAAGTATCATGACAATTTCTGACAACATCCATGGGGGAATATAGGTATTTTTGCATTTTTCTTAACGATGCACAGCTGACTATTGTAGAAATTCTTTGACATGCACAAGGCCAGGCATCTATATGGCTTCACAGACCTGCCCTGTGATTTATCAGTTGACTTGGCCCATAAGAAAATGTGGTCTAATGCTTGTCACATATCTGTCCTAGATAGCATATCGTGGAAACAGCACTACATATACTTATTTTCTGAATGTTTTCATTCAGATCAGAGCTGTGCTAGTTACTAGAAGATGGTATAATGACAGGTGTCCACTCTGGTGCCAGACTGCCTGGGTTCACATCCCAGCTTGTCACTGGCTGTGTGACTGGACTAGTTATTTAACCTCTCTGTCCCTTGGTTTTCTCATCTGTAAAATATGGAAAATAATAGGACCTACCCCATTAATCACATAGTTGTGAAAAGTAAATAAATACATCAATACATGTAAAGTACTTATGGCCTGATCATAGTATGTGCTCAATAAACTTATCTATAGGGCGCCTGGGTGGCTCAGTTGGCTAAGTGACTGCCTTCGGCTCAGGTCATGATCCTGGAGTCCCGGGATCGAGTCCCGCATCCGGCTCCCTGCTCAGC